GAGAGAGAGAGAGAGAGAGAGAGAGAGAGAGAGAGAGAGAGAGAGAGAGAGAGAGAGAGAGAGCATGTGTGTTTTCACAACTTCACGTCTCTGGCACCGTCGTATATGGAATTGGGGAGGAAATCTACCCTACCTCCATTTTACCCCTGTGAATAAAGGCAGATCAACTGTCAAGCCAGATTCTAATGCTTTATAGAAAGCTTCATATCGCAATTGGACAATTGGCGTCGCTTGAAGCGTGCTGCATCAAGCGTTGGGATGCACTGACTCGATTACAACTGGAGCTGCGAAAACAATGGTCACTCTCAGGTAGAGTTCTTCCGGTCCTTTCAAAAAAAAAAAAAAAAAAAAAAGAACTTCTCGTCGCCTTCCTTGTCCGCCATCTTCTTTGTCTCTTCCTTCCATCCTGTTGTGCTGCCTCGATTCTCCTCCTCTCTCCTCCTCCTCCTCCTCCCACCTGTTCCCTGCTCTTCTTTTCCTCTCCTTCTCCACTTCTTCAAGCCCCTCCCCTGTCCTCCCTTCTCCTCCCTTCTCCTTCCTTCTCCTCCCATTCTTCTCCCTTCTCTTCCCTTCTCCTCCCTTCTCCTCCCTTCTCCTCCCTTCTCCTTCCTTCTTCTCCCTTCGTCTCCCTTCTCCTCCCTTCTTCTCCCTTCTGCTTCCTCCTGGTCATCTTCCTTCTCTACTCTATTCTCTGTCCTCATGTGTTCCTCCCTTCTCCTCTCCTCCCTCTCTTCTTCTCCTCCTCCTCCTCCTCCTCCTCCTCCTCCTCCTCCTCCTCCCTCTTCCTCCCTCCTCCTCTGTCTTACTTCTCCCGCCTCCCTCCTCTTCCCTCCTCCATCCTCATTGTTTCTCCTCCTCTTCTTCTGGCCTTGTGGCTGATCCTCATCCTTGATGTGGGTCTGTCCAATGACCGATGAGGCAACACATGGAATCTTTTTTTTTTTTTTTTTGGAATCTCCTTTTATTGAGGTGAACAGAGAGCTAGATTCCCCCTCAAACAGAGGGAAGGTAATACATTTTAAATTTTAAATTTAAAACTAAGAAGAGCCAAACAGAAGAGTCCCCTCATTTCTGTTCCCGAGCTTGTTTCCGGAAGTAGCTGTGAACTGCAACGAGGGGATGCAAACGGGGTGGCAGAGGGAATCTTGACCCCCCGCCATGAAAATTGGGGGGGGGGGGTAGGGRGGGGGAAAAAGAAGTAAAATGGGAAAAAAGGTAAAAGGCGCAACAGGACATCAGCTGTGGAAGGACTGGACAGTCCTAGAAAAATATATATATTTTTACCTTTCTCAGTCGTTTTTGGCTGAGATCAAGTGTAGTATCTGTTCTGATCAGTTAAAAAAAAAAAAAAAAAAAAAAAAAGAAGAAGAAGAAAAAAGACAGTCTGATCTGACTGAGTGGGCTGAAAGGAACCATTCAAATTTCAAATTGATCTTGTGGCTTTTTTTTTTTCTTTTTCCGGGGGACCACTATTTAATATTTATAAATTTATGCCAATATTTATAGACTCAATATAGAGGGAGTGACTTTCTGAGTCTTCTGACCCCAAGCATGGGCTTTTTTTTTTTTTTTTTAGCGTGGTCTTGCATGGTGCCCTCTCACCCTTCTCGCTTCTAACAGCTTTTGTCGAGTCGTCCTGTGTGGGTTGGATTTATCCATATATGATGTGTTGGTTGGATTTACCCATATATGGGTGTCTTCCTGTCTCAAACAACAACAATCTTTCCAAAAAAGGCAATCAAATCATCTGAGGGGTCCTGGGGCCGTAACCCCGGGAAGCGTCAAGAGTGGGTATATTATGCTTTTCTTGACTTGCCGGCGGATATGTACTGGAC